CCATGTGGCTCTGCCTGCAAGGAGGCAGCTAAAGCGAAAGCGAAAATGGCAGCCATTACACCACAATGAACTGAAACTCACCCAGAGAGATTAGGGCGATCTGCTGCAGTTTGGGGCTTTAGCAGCAGTCCCAAGCTCCCCCAAAGCAATCAAGCTTCAAAAGGAATTTACTGCAGCAGCTGCTAAAATGAAACAAAAAACCCTCCAATCCTTAAATGCCTTTGCCAAGGGAAAAGGAACACTAATCTCAAAAGTAAACAACTGTAAAAAGAAATGGAGGGATGGGGGAGAATGAAGAAACAAACAGTGAGGGATTTAAGGGAGAAGGGAGAGATAACCTACTGAGAGGAAAAATAGTTTAATAAAACCTGAGTCTGGAGTGAAGAACCAACACGCCTTGTCTGGGTAGAAGACTAAGTCGGAACTGGGCATGTGCGACCAGGCAAGAGGCGTGGCTATCTCAGACTTAGTCTTATTGGGTACAAGGGACTTCAGGAAACCCAATCATGTGGATTATCCATCCCTCATGCTGGAGAATGAAAGATTTCTGTTTAATGGTATTCTGAAACCAAACAATGTCAATTCCTACATTATCTTTTTCAAAAGGTGAATATTTAAAATCCTTGGGAAGGCACTAGGGGGGAGGAACAATACCTAGCTAACGACAACTCTGGATTTAATTTGTGAAAGGCGCAAACAAGACCATAATTAATATTTTGCACAATAATTTCAGTCACAGCAATAACTAACGCTAAAAGAAAAATCATTTAACAATAGATGTAATAAAGCTTTCATTATTGTTAGGAGGACCCGCATTGATGCACTTTTAAGAGACACACTCAAGAGCTGGCTGCTATAAATTTCAAAGTAATGAGACAAAGAGCTCCCACCTTCCACAGTTGGGGTACTCTTAGCATCAGAAGCTTCAGACCCTGGTTCATCAGATCCATCATCAACTGGTATATGGAGGGGAGTGCCTGGAAATACACACATTCAGCACTCAGCATAAGGAGCTCAGTTTCGGAAAATATGGCCCGTCAGCTATGCAATAAGGTTTTGAATTAGGCTGCTCATCCCCACAGAGCAAGAAATGGGCATGCTTATGTGATTGCTTAAAGGCAGGCGTTAGCTAAAGAAGGTAACAGTAGAAATGGAAGTAGTACCCATCACAGATATTAGGGCCAAGCAACAAAACAGCTACTACAAGTGAAGAGCAAGTGATCTGTGTGGTGCATCAATCAGTAGCAAACATGAAAGCGAAGTCAAGAAGGCCAAATGCAAAGCAAGCTTTTTCCTCTTCTTTTTTCAGTACAGATTATGTCCTCATAAGAATGCCTTGCGTCATGCCTTGGTTGCAGATAATGCATTTAAAGATATTAGAACATCAGTAGGGAAAGAAATAAACATCTACAATGATTTATACAATAGGCTGTATTTTAGTATCAAGTTGGTCATCGCTGATGTATAGGTCTAAGGATCATGAAAAGCAGATCTGTACTTATTCATCCAGAAAATGTATAAAACGCCAGATTCTACTGGCTTTGTCAGAAAAACAATATTGTCAGAAGAACTAATAACGAACATTGAACCTGGACAATGAACGAACATTTGAGTAGACACCAAGTGGTCTTTTCTTCAATGTTTCATTGATATTTTAAAGATATACCTGAATAAACAGGATAGGAGTATGAGAAATTCTGGGATGTTTGTTGAATATCATAAAAGGTAATCTACTGGGGAGAATCTGAGGAAGTATTCTTGCTGATTGCTTTTGAAAACTTTTATTCTTTTCCTCTCAATGATAGTGTGAAATGAAGGAGACATGTATTTGAAGGAATTTCCACAGGCTATAGATTTTCTCCCCTCTAATACCAGGTTAAATTTCAAAATGGACAGGAATTTAGTTATTAATCAGGCAGCAGGAGACTCAAACTGCTGATACAGTTAAGTGAGAAGCAGTGATCTGAATAGAGAAAGAAAAGCTTCTTTATCAATAGATAATAATCATTTCAAAGTGATATATATTTACTGAGTGACCATCATGCAACTTATAATAGCTTGTAATCATTCATAGATACTGAAGCTAGGTATTTTCAGAAAAATGGAAACATCCATCTAATTCTTGCATTTCTTTCAGTGCTAATGAAGGAAGAAAAGATCGCATGATTTGGCAGCATTGCTCCAAAAAATTTTTCTTGCAAATGAATACTCTCAATGTTTTCTTCTGTTCATATAATGAGCAAAAGATTCCAACAAGGAAATTCATGTTGAAGTCTTCATATGGAACACAAAAGTATTCACTCACCCATGCTTCATGTCTCCTCTTTCAAACATTTTTTTTTAAATCAATGGACTGAAAACAAGGCAATTTTCATATAATCCGTTAGAAAAAATATTTCTGAAATCAGCCCAAAATGCGTATTTTATTGAGTAAAAAGGCAGCAGTCTTACTGCTTTGGGTAGAGCATAACAGGCAGCAATTTGCTGTAACTAAATAAATCTGTGCCTGGTATATTACATGATTATCTTCAAGGAAGAGACAGCAGGAAAATGTTCATATAGTTATCAGGACTTGGGTGGCTGATAACTATATGGACATTTTCCTGCTGTTTTCATGGCAATATTTTTCAGATGCTTTACCAGTACCATCTTTCTAGGGCTGAGAGAAGACGACTGGCTCAAAGTCACCCAGCTAACTTCTACGCCTAAGGGAGGATTAGATTTTCCAGTTCTAATTTAATGCATTAACCACTAGACCAAACTGGCCCTCTGTGCTGCTACACACAAAAGCTCATCTATCTAAATAACTTTTTGCAAATTATGTTATTTTCCACTTTACTATTTCATTACTTCAGTTACTTCATAAGGATATATGTGCTTCTTCATAGATAATTCTTGGCAGCAGGACCAGCCTGCTTGTACACCCAGCACCATGACTACTGAAAGTTCACTTTTCCAATAATAGCTTGCTATAGCCTGGCATGCTAATTTAATTTAAGTACTCAATTCATTTTTAGTGATGAAAGGCATTCTGGCCCATTGGGTGGGTGTGGCCCATTGGGTAGGCATGGCTGTGGTGGTAACAGCAGACTGGGTGGGATTAAAAAGCTCAATCAATCAATTCCAACTTTGCAAGATCTTTTTTTTCCCCGCGAGAAGTTGAAATTGACTGATTGATTGAACCTTTTTTTTGTACACGGCGGTGGAGGCCTAAAGCGAAAAGGTTTTATAAAACCCAGCTGAAGGCCTAGTACTGGGGTGAAGGCGCGCGTGCCCACAGAAAGGGCTCTGAGTGCCGCCTCTGGCACCCGTGCCATAGGTTCGCCACCACTGTGCTAGGAGGTCGACAAAACAATAGAGCATTACTAATTATGTCAGATAATGGCTGAAAAGCAATGTCAGGCCCTGAAAAGCAATCCCAACAACAGCTAAGAAGTATCTGCTTCTGTTGGTAAGTTTTATTTTGTTCAGTTTTTTAAAATTCCTTTTACCAATCTGCAGAATTATTACTTTATCTCTAAAGTGTTTGACAAAGTACTGAAATATCATGATTTTACATTAGGTTTCATGCAGTGATAATGGCTTTCTATCAGTGAATGGGGAAGAAATGACCAACCACTTCTTTCAACTTTCCCCAAAGATAGACATAATGTAGGTTGCTATTCTGCACCTAATACCTTCTTCCTATAACTGAGTTCTCTGCTGAATTTGTTAGGTGTTTTTTCCATAAACACTGTTTATGTTTATGGAACATTATGTTTGGAAATGTTCATCCAGGTCTTTCTCTACTTTGTTAAGCATTTTATTCAAAGAAACACAAGTAATTTTTCCTGGCTCTCTCCTATTTTTCACAGTATTTAGCAGATGGCCTCAGAGATAAATGTTATCCTAGAAACAAGAGAAATAGACTATACACTAATCAGCTTATAGGGCAAATTCTCATCAAATCAGTGCTGGAACTTTCCAGGATTCACACTAAGATCCTGATCTGAATATTCTTGAGTGGTTGAGTAAAACACTGATCATTGCTGGCACAATGTCCTCAGAACTTTAGAACATGTTTTTCATCATTCAGTCCTTAAGTTCTATGCCTTTGTGAGAACCGCAGGGCTTGGATACTTAAGGCTAACCTCAGCCAAGTATTAGAACCTTACTGTACTATGCAAAGAGGACTTTACTTAAACAAAAAAACTGGCTGTCCTCACAGAATCTAAGGATAATTGTCACTATCCAACCGAGTACTCAGTATGGGGCAAAGAGTAATCAAGTAGGTTGCAATTCATTGCCCATGGTGAAGGAGCTGTGATTCTCCATTTGTTACCATGGTGAAGAGACTGTGAAGGCAGGCGCTGAGAGCAAGGGGGAGGAATGAGAACAAAAGCTCTTCTCAGATTCTTCTTGTTTCAGCCTGGTTTGACTGAAAGTTAAAAATCACTGAGCCTGGATAATCTTGCTAAAGTCCTGGAAAATAAAGAGAATGCATGAAGCAAACAAGAAAACTCCTGAAGAAAAAAGAAGGTCCCACAAGTGTTTATTTGTCTTGCAATAGGATCCCAAGTTCCACTAAGGTTCAAGGATGTCCATTGTAAAGCAAAATAAATGCTTCCAAGTAGGCTTATTTTGGGTTTATTGTATATGACACCAGTGACTTGGATCAATGGATAAAAATCCTATTATTGGCATTACATAACATAGCTAAAAGATTTTGTAACATAAAATAGCAAAAGAATCTACCGAAACAGCTTTAGTGCTGGCTATTAACATAAAAGAACTTGCTAGGTCTTCAGGATGCAGAAAGAATGAAAGAATGATTTTCAAAGGAGGAATTCCACCATCTGTTTTCAAACACTAGGAATACTTCCTTGCATAGATTTTATTTTATCAGAGATTATACTATGGGAAAATATCTCCATTTGATCTCTCAGGCATAGAAAACTGAGAATTTTCCTGGAAAAAATTATTGAAGCCTAGAATTACTAAAAAAAAAACCCAAGATCATAGACACTAGGGAGGAATATAACCTGTAATGATTTCCAAACAACTGAAAGAAATTCAGTTTTCAGCCTAAGTAATTCTTACTTCCAAGTCTGAATTTTGAGTATATGGGAAGGTCCCAGTTAAAGTTGTCCGTATCAAGGTCTTTTATAAAACTGCCAATGCAGCTTTATAAAACATTGTGCTCTAGAGACAAGCAGCCTTTACTTAGTAAAAGTCATTTTCATACTCCACAGATAAAGGTACAAACATCTCTCATGCTGATAAAACCAAGCAGTAAGTAATCCCCTAAAAAGTGACCAGAATACTTGTAGAAACAAGTATTCCAAAGCACAAGAGGGTAGAAGAGATAAAGAACATCTGTAAGCTTTTTTTGACATTATATATTTGGCTATTTGCAAAATGCTCAACTACAATTCTTATCTTCCCTATATGCATAAATTTCTGCAGCATACTGACCGCAACAAATTTATCCAATCATGACATTTTAACTGTTATGGTGTTCGATGATGACTTAGCTTGTATATTATTTGAAACCTCTAGCATGTTAATATTTCAGAAAACATTGAAGGGAGCAACAGAAAATAGATGGGTAAACACTTAAAAATGCACTTACTGGTACATAAGTGTAAACATTCTGGAATATCACAAAAAATAGTTTCATTTTTTGAATACAGACAATAAAGTGCTACTTTTCAGCACAAGATAAGTGTAATTTACAAGACATTATCACAATTCTTAACACAAAGATATTAATTGCAGCTTTGGTCGAAAGAATATTAAATTTGAAGCCAAATCAACGATGAAGAAAACTGTATGAAAAGAAATCTGTTAATTTCTATATGATTTTGTCATTTTCCTCAGTTCAGTTCAATAATATTCTGTTTATTTCACAAATTCATGATAATTTATTATCCACTTTGAATTTTATGTGTCAGTCTGGGCAATAAGGAAACAGAGTGAGTAACAATGCAGCAATTTTGTTCTGGAAAGTAACAATAAATATGGCAACTCAGTGGTTCCAATGTTTATTCTGATGTGCAATGGACTTCTGGAATATAAAATGGGAACATGAACAAGTGTTTTAATTGCTTTTTTGACATAATTAAGTATCTGACCACCAGAAGCATGGTAAAAATGCTGATGGATACAAAAAAGAATCAGAATTTTTTGGCATCAGAAGGAAAGGAAGCTTAATATGTTTTAGAACTCCCAGCTTAGTAATCATAGTTTAATAGCCAGAAAATAGTATCAGGTATTTATATTCTAAAAGTCCTCTCTTTCTCTCCTCTCTTCATATTAATTTACGATTCTTCATGAAGAACATCCATTTGATCTTCAACTATTGTGTTTTAGCATAGTAATTTAGCTTAAAAATAAAGATTCTGTTGAAACAAGCTTGATTACTAGTGATTTCATGGATACATCGATGCATTTTTCTCAGAAATGACTTGCCATGTCTTTCTTCCAGAATGTATTTTGAGTTCATAATCTAGTCCTGGAATTCAAAGATAATCTTAGCTTCCAGAAGAATAAAGCTTGATTCAGTATATTTCAGATCTCACAGAGAACCATGCTTTACTTCATGAGGACTGGTGCATGGCGAGAGAAGGTAAAAAAAGGGATTATGAAAAATATTTGGATCTGGCTTGCACAATAATAATAGAATAAGAATAGGATTTTAAACCTGATCTAGGTTATTAAGAAGTGATCATTTTTTTAAACTGCTGAAATACCTCAGAGACAAATTGCTTTATGTACTTTTTGTCTAGAAATGGTAGCAGCATTAATTAAATACATTCTGATTGTTTCTCAATAGCTGGAACAGAAATTATGAATTAATCCCATATGTGCTACAACGTGGGTCAATACTTTCAATGTATCAATATATTTAATATACCAGAACAAAATCCTTAACAATCTAATAATGAGGATCCATTTGGCATTTCTGCTGTATTAGTCCACATCTAATCAATCTGGTTGCTATCAGATTATCTAACTAATGTTATGCAGAGCCCATGAACACTGTTTGGCTTCAGTGTTTAGTGACCATAGTCTACATTTCCTGATAGTTCATTGGCAACTGTGGCTGGTATTTTCAAACATAAAATGGTCTGCTACACAGACCACAGGCAACCGAGCAAGAGCTAAATGGGATGTTGCCTTTGTAGCTAGATGTCCTGACTGCTGATTGATTTTTGGCCAAGCTGGTTCCAACTGCTGCAGGCTGATGAGGGCTGGTCTCTGACTGGGTCTTTATGTTTAATCCTGATTTATAATAATAATAATAATAGTAAAGTTGGAAGGGACCTTGAAGGTCATCTAGTCCAACCCCCTGCTCAGGCAGGAAACCCTATACCATTTCGGACAAATGGCTGTCCAGTCTCTTCTTAAAAACTTCCAGTGTTGGAGCATTCACCGCTTCTGGAGGCAGGTTGTTCCACTGGTTAATTGTTCT